CCGTAGGCAGCCTGTCCCGGTGGGGAAAGCTCTCGGGACCATGGGCTCATGGCGCTTCCCCATCTGTGAGCAAGATGCTCAGTGAGGCTCCTGCTCTAAAGGGGAGTCCTCAAATCTGATCGCGAGAGGGAGTGTGTGAGAGGTGGGATTCCAGTCCCAGCTGGGAGGAACCTCCTTGGAGCTGTGGGCAAATGGGGTGCAGGTGGGCTGGGGGTGGGGGTTGCTGGGTAGGGTGGGGGAGGCGAGCTGGGGGGGTTGCTGGGTAGGGTGGGGGAGGCGAGCTGGGGGGGTTGCTGGGTAGGGTGGAGGCAAGCTGGGGGTTGCTGGGTAGGGTGGGGGAGGCGAGCTGGGGGGGTTGCTGGGGGGTTGGGGTCTGAGCGGATGGCAGGAGAGGGGAGCCATCAGCCGGCTGTGGGGCCTCCCCCGCGACTCCTGGGTCTCTGAGGGAGGTGGCGGGACAGGTCAGAAGGCGCGTGAGCACCCAGACCCTCCTGCCCCAGCTCCTCGTCCCTCCGTCGTTTACTCATTGATTCGTTTGATTCACAGTCGTCATCCACCCCCTCCGCCCTGCTGGTCACAAGACTTGACGTCCAAGGTGGGAGCAGCCAGGCCGGATGCGTGGGGGCCCCGAGAGCCCCTCCTCGTTGGCGCCTGGGTGCGCACTGTGCCCTCGGGTCTTTCTGCGGCCTCCGACCGCCGCTGCGCAGTCGGGGTTGGCCCTCGCCCTGATGGCAGGAAAGCAGCTTTGCCCGCCGAGGCCGTGCTGTCCGGCTCCCACAGAGCCGTGCCTCCGGCGGCGTGTGCCGCGTCACCTGTGGGAATGGCCTCTCCCCGTTGCTTCCCCCTTTCGTGGCCGGGCCAGCGGGCCCGGTGCGGGAGGGGAGCTGCCGTCAGGACACGCCCGAGTGGCCCACGGGCAGGGCTCTGGGTCTGGGCAGCCGGGCGCCACCAGGCGCATGGGAACGTGTGAACACACAGCGGCCCCTCCCGGGCGAGGCTGTGGGGCTCTGCCCGAGCTGGGGGTCGGCTCACTGCCCTTCAGGACTTCCAGGAATCGCTGCTGTGGCCTAGTTCGCGTCCCGAGGTGGCTCCTGAATGCTGATGCGGGAGGCGTGTTGAGGAAGAGCCAGCAGCTCTCCCTTAATTAAGTAAATCTTCCGAGGCCTTCTAAACACCGGAAACGAGGCAGAATGACAGTGACAGCCCACGCTGGGAGATTGCTGCTTTTTCACGCTGAGTGATTCCTCGCAGCGTCTGTCTGTTCCACCAGTGCCCCCCCGGCCCCCGGCCCTTTGCTGCCCCCAGGCCCGGGGCCCAGAGCTCCGCCGAGGGCTTCCAGCGCAGGACTGGAGTGTTCTGCGCGCACAGGGGCCGCCCTCCCTGCGCCCCCGGCCCACACGGCCGGCTCGTCGTGGACGTGGGCGCCACGCGCTGGGTTCACTTCCTGGCTCGCTGCAGTGCTTCCCCCGGGCACGTGTGGACCCCCCCTCGGGGGAGCCCCGGCCTCCACGTCCCCTGCTCCGGAGGAGCGGAGTGCCGCCTCATGGCTGCGGTCACTGCACCTGCCGTGCCGCCTTCCAGGGGACAGGCCACTTGTCCCCGGCCCTGGCTCTGGGCTCAGTGTCTTAACAGATGAGTCAGGTGCAGGGGGCCAGACCCGGCTAACAGCGTTGGGCTTGTTTGTTTACTGGCTCTCTTTCCGGGTGAAATCTTAGGGGGACTCCAGTCTGTGAAGAGTGAAGAGGGAGGCAGTGCTTGGCGCCCAGGACGAACCCTCCGGGAACGCGTCTTCCAGGACCCCAGGGTCCTGTGGCGACGGGGCCTCAGTGCATCCTGCTTGGCATGTTATTCTGTGTCTCTTTCCGAGACGGGTTCCCGTTGGGGGCAGGCACTCGGTCCTGCCGCCTGTGGTACCCAGAGCCCGTGGCGCTCGCCATGTGCCGGTAACTTGGAAGCAAGAGGTGGGAATCCGTGGTCACGGGTAACTTCTGGCCGCCTCCCCGGAGTCTCGCGAGCTGTTGCCGGCCCGCGTGGCTCCCAGCACCCTCCTGCTTCGCCTACTCAGAGCCCTGCTCGAGATGCGCGCCGATGCTCAGGGCCGGGGCCACGTCCCCGGAAGGACCCGCAGCCGTTCCTTCTTCGTGTCGCCCGGGGAGCCCTCGCCAGGCTGCCCAGCGAGAGCCCAGGGCCCGCGGCCCGTTCCCTGCGCTCGGCCTCTCGCACGCGTGCCCGGTGCGTTCCTCAGACCCCCGGCCGAGCCGCTCGGGTCCCGCACCCCTCTGACCAGAAGCACCTTTTCCTCAACGTCTGTGTTGAGCAGGCCGCCCTGAGCCTGTTCCCAGGGCCGGTCAGCGCTGCCAGCCTGCGGGCGCCTCCGCAAAGGGCAGCGCAGAGCGAGCCGTCTGGCCAGCTTCTGTTTGCAGACATGTCCTGTTCTCAGAGAGAAGGGTGCCGTTTGGGAGAACGCAAAGTAGTCGTAGCCTGGTACTTTTTTTCCAAAACTTTAAAATAAGTTTTTATTGGGGCACCCAGGTGGCTGAGTCATTCTTTTAAGTATCTGACTCTTGATCTTGGCTCAGGTCATGATCTCAGGGTTCGTGAGTTTGAGCCCATGTTGGGCTCTGTGCTAACAGTGTGCAGCCTGCTTGGGATTCTCTCTTTCTCAAAAATAAACATACATTTAAAAAACGTTTCTTCAAAAAAGTAAGGTTTTGGGGCGCCTGGGTGGCTCAGTGAGTTAAGTGTCCAACTTCGGCTCAGGTCATGATCTCACAGTTGATGGGTTCAAGCCCCGCATCTGACTCTGTGCTGACAGCTCAGAGCCTGGAGCCTGTTGTGGATTCTGTGTCTCCCTCTCTCTCTGACCCTTGCCTGCTCACACTGTCTCTCTTTCTCTCAGAAATAAATTATAAAAAAAAAAAAAGAAAAAAATTAAGGTTTTATTATGGGGAGTTTTATGTAAAGAAAGAGTACTAGAATATCATCCCCATGTTTGGGTGATTCCCACAGTTACTATTTCCTGGATCTGTGTTGCTTCCCAGACCGCCCCCCCCCCCACCACTGTGTGTTATTTGAAGCAAATGTTATTTATTAAATAATCAAATATAGTCATTTTGAAGCAAATCCCAGATAGCATATGGTTTCAACGTTCAGTATTTCAGAAGCTTGCATTTTAAAGCTGTTCTGAAATTGGTTGTGACTTAGCGTCGGAGCTTCTGCTGTGACTTTCCCGAGCCACTGCTCTGGGACCTGCATGCCTGTCGTCTCAGGCCACGGTTACAGATATTAGCAAAATGTGCATAATATTCATATTCCCCGTTTTCTCGGAGACACAGAGTGAGTATAATCTACTTTGTACTTCGCTTTTTCGCCCCCCTGGTTCATCCTGGGGGTGGTTCCTCCCGGTGCAGGTGAGTGCACCTTAGCCACAGCTCTGTGCCAGCTTCCTGCTCTGGGGACAGCGGACGGGACCGTGGCTCTCCTGTCCTGGGCTCCTGGTGCTCTGAGGCTTGTCACAGCCTCCCCGTGACAAACATGGAACTTCTTTAGGTGACAACAGCTGCAGACGCTGGAAGCCACCCACAGGTTGCACTTTTGTGCAGTTTACGTTGAAAACACCTTGTAACAGATGGAGTCCACGTGGACGCTCTGAGGAACTGACGTTTGTTTGCCTGTCTTTCAGATGTAATTTACCCGCACCCAGATGCCTCCGCAGAAAAAGCCAGAAATGTCCTCGCCGTGGAAACCGTCCCCGGAGAGCTGGGGCAAGCAGCTCACCAGCCAGCCGCAGGGCCCCCCAATTCCATTAATTTCTCTTTCAAACAGTGGGGCACTGAGCTCAAGTGAGTCTTTGGAAAGCAACGTATGAATTGAAAATGGGTTATTTCTGATGATACGTTATAATTTTATATATGGGATTGTAAAGCTGCCTAACATTTATGAAGGTCTTTGTCATTTGCGAGGTCCTCTCAGGTCCTGGTTGTTTTTCTAGCTTGTAGAGAGGGCCCGTTCTGTGCCGCGCACGGTGCCCGATGTTTTCACACCCGTGGTTTATTTTAATTCGCTTGACTGTGAGGTCGGTTGTGTGGTCGAGTTCTGCAGAAGCAGAGACCTGCTGGGGAAGAGCCCTTGTCTGGGTCTCCAGGTGCCCAGGCTGCCCAGCCGAGAGTCTTCCCAGGGGCCAGCCCCCCTCCCCGGCCCCAGGGTTGCCCCAGGGCACGGGTTCGACGAGGAGAGGGAGGCGGGCTTGTGCGCGTTTGTGTCTTTAAGAAAAGCTTTGCTGAGGTACCGCTCGTGTGCCGTGCAGCTCGCCCACCCGGGGTGTACAGCGCCCTGCTTTCCGGCGCGTTCTGCCAGGTGAACAGCCGTCCCTGTGGTCGGTTGTAGGGCAGTTCTGTCACCCCGAAAAGAAAGCCACCCATTTCCCTGCAGCCCTGTGACCACTAGCCCACTTTCTGTGTCCGTGGGTTGCCTGCCCTGGGCGTTTCGTCTAAATGGCCTCCTACGTGGGAGACTTTGCACCTGGCTTCTCCACCGAGCGCGGGGTCTTCCGGCCCGTCTGTGTTCTGGGAGGTGTTAGTACTTCCTTTCTCTTGATTGCACACAAGTGCTCCGTCGTCCGGATAGACCACGTTCTGTGTGTCCACTCGTCAGGCCATGCACGTGTGGGCTGCTTCCCTCTGTGGCTGCTGTGAGCAGTGCTGCCGCGAGCACTAGGTCCCGTGGGGACACGCCTTGGTCTCTGGTGGGTGCGCGCCGGGAGCGGAGCTGCCGGCTCATCCGGGAACTCTGGGTCCACGTGAGGGCCTGCCCGGCGTTTGCCTACGTCCTCCCCTCCCCCGCGCTCATGGTTCCGCTGTCGCTGGTGGTGAAGCGCGACCTCGTGGTCGTGATGGGCGTCTCCCTGGTGACCGCCGATACCGAGCGGCTCCCCACGTGCTCTTTGGCCGCTGGTGGATCTTTGGAAAGATCTCTGCGCAGATCCTTGGTCCGCGTCTCAATTGCGTTGTCTTCTTTTTCAAAATTTTTTGTTTAAATTTTTCATTTTTAAATATTTTATTTATTTTTGAGAGAAAGCACAAACCGGCAAGGGGCAGAGAAGGGAGACAGAGGATCCCAAATGGGCTGTGCCGACAGCACAGAGCCCGATGTGGGGCTTGAACTCACGAACCATGAGATCATGACCCGAGCTGGTCAGACATTCAACCGACTGAGCCCCCAGGTGGCCCTGTCTTTTTTTTTTTTTTTTAATACTTAATTTTCTTAGGGCAGCTTTAGGGCTGCAGTAAAATTGAGAGGAAGCCAGAGATCTTTATACGTCCCTTGCCGCACACGTGTGTGCCCCGCCCCGTTCTCAGCAGAGTGGTACGGCTCTTACCGAGGGTGAGCCTGCATTAACGCGTCGTGATGACCAGAGGCCACGGCGTCCCTTCGGGTTCAGGCTTGCTGGTGTGCGCTGCGGGTCTGGGCACGTGGGTAGTGACACACGTCCAGCATGGTGTCATACGGGGTATTTTCTCTGCCCTGAAAATTCTGTCTTCTGCTCGTTAACCTCACTCGCTCATAACCTCACCGGCAACCACTGGACCTTCGCTGTGTCTGTGCCCTTGCTTGTCCACATCAGTTCTGTGGGAGTCAGAGTATCAGCCCTTTCAGATCAGCTTCTTGCACCGAGTGATATGCATTCAAGTTTCCTCTGCGTCTTTTCAGCCTGATGGCTCGTTTGTCTTTCGTGCTGGGTGACGTTCCGTTGTCTAGATGCAGACGGGTGCCCACTCACCCTCCGAAGGTGGTGAAGCAAACCTTCGCTGCTCCCAGGTTTCGGCGACTGCGAGCAGAGCTGCGGCAGACACCCGTGCGCGGGTTTTCGTGTGGACGTAAGTTTTCAGCTCCTTTGGGGAAGTGCCGAGGAGCGGGACTGCGTGTGAGAGCGCGTGCGCGTCTGTGAGAAGCGGGCCAGCTGTCTTCCCAAGGGGCTGCCCTTGTTGCGGCCCCCAGCACGGGGCTTCCTGACGCCCCGCGGCCCGCCCGCAGCTGGTGGTGTCGCGTTCCAGCGTTTGGCCGCTCTTCTCCACGTGTGGTGGCGGCTCGCTCACGCTCTCATTTGCATCTCCCTGACGGCCACTGCGTAGCCTCCTCGGTGGGGCGTCCGGTGAGGCCTTCGGCCCATTTCTTAGCTGGTTGTCCATTTTCTTATTGTTGAGTTTTAAGAGTTCTTTGTATATTTTGGATAACAGTCGTCTGTCAGATGTGTCTTGTGCAGATGCCCCCCCCCCCCCCCCCCCCCCCCCCGCCCCGGTCTGTGGCTTGTCTTCTACTTCTCTTGCCGGTGTCTTTCCCAGAGCAGACAGTTTGAATTTTAATGAAGTCCGGTTAATCATCATTTCTTTCATGAATTGTGTCTTTGGTGTTGTGTCTAAAAAGGCATCACCTAATCCAAGGTCATCTGGGTTTTCTCCTCTGTGATCTTCTGGGAGTTTTATAGTTTTGCATTTTACATTTTGATCTCTGGCCCATTTTGAGTTGATTTTTGTGAAGCACGTAAGGTCCTCACCTCGTCATCAGTTTGCACATGGACATCCGGCTGCTCCAGCACCATTTGTTGGAGGGACTGTCTTTGCTCTTTTGTCAGGGATCAATGGATTGTGTTTATGGGGTTCATTTCTGAGCTCTCTGTTTTGTTCCATTAACGTGTCTGTCTGTCCCTCCTCCGGTATCACGCTGTTTTGATTACTGTAGCTTTACACTGTCCTAAGTCTCGAAGTGCGGTGGTTTCGTCTTCGTCAGTATCATGAAGAATCTGGGTCTTTCGCTTCTCTCCGTAGAAACCTGAGAATCAGTTTATCGACAGCCACAAAATAACATGCTGGGATTTCATTGCATGGATAGATCAGGTTGGGAAGAACTGACCATCCTGACAATATTGAGTCTTCCTGCCCGTGATCATGAAATCTCTCTCCGTTATTTTGTTCTTTGATTTCACTAATCAGTTTTATAGTTTTCCTCATAGATATGCTCTGTTTTTTTAGGTTTATATCTAAGTATTGCATTTTCTTAGTGCTGCTATAAATGATGTGTTTTTAATTTCAAATTCCACTTGTTCATTGATGGCATATAGGAAAACAGTTGCCTTTTGTATGTTAACCTTGTATCCTGCAACCTCACTATAATCACTTATTAATTTTGGCTTTTTTTTTAATTCTTTGAGAGTTTTAAAATTATTTATTTTAATATTTATCCATTTTTTGAGAGACAGAGCACGAGTGGGGGAGGGGCAGAGAGAGAGAGAGAGAGAGAGAGAGAGACACACAGAATCCAAAGCAGGCTCCAGGCTCTGAGCTGTCAGCACAGAGCCCGATGTGGGGCCTGAACTCATAAACCATATCGTGACCTGAGCCGAAGTTGGCCACTTAACCGATTGGGCCACCCAGGCACCCCTGTTCTTTCAGAGTTTTTACATAGATGATCATGTCATCTTGAACAAAGACAATTTTGTCTTTCTTCCCAATTTGTATACCTTTAATTTGATTTTCTTGCCTTATTGTGTTAGCCAGGGTTTCTGGTACAGTATTGAAAAGGAGGAGTGAGAGGAAACACCTTGTTCTGTGCCTGATCTTCGTGGGACAGCTTTGCGCTTCTTCAGTATGGTGTGCGCTGTAGGGTTTTTGTAGATAGTTTTTATCAGGTTGAGAAAGTTCCCTCTATTTCTAGTTTATTCAGAGTTTTTATCTTGAATTGATGTTGCATTTTGTCAAATGCTTTTTCTGGATCTAGTGATGTGAATCTATTATGTGATTTTTCTTTTTTAGTAATTTCATGTGATGGATTACACTAATTGATTCTTGAATGTTGAATGAACCTTGCATAGTGGAGATAAATCCCACCTGCTTGTGGGGTATGCTTTTTATATATTCTGGGATTTGATTTTCTAATATGTTGCTGAGGATTTTTGGATCCGTATTCATGAGAGACATTGCTCTGTAGTTTTCTTGTAATGTCTCTTTGTGATGTTGGTATTAGGGGAATGCTGGCTTCACAGAATGAATTAGGAAGTGTTCCCTCTGCTTCTGTCCTCAGAGAGCGGTTGTACAGGACTCATATAATTTTTTCCTTAAATGTTATGTGATCTTCACCAGCGAACCCATTTGGGTCTGGTGCTTTCTGTTTTGGAAGGTTATTGGTCTAATATTTTTAATAGATCTAGGACTATTCAGATCATCTATTTTTTAATTCTTATGTGAGTTTTGGCAGATTGTGTCTTTCAAGGAATTGTTCCATTTCATCTAGGTTGTCAAATTTGTGGACCGAGTTGTTTGTAGTGTTTCTTTATTATCCTTTTAATATCCATGAGGTCTGTAATGATATCTCCTCTTTCGTTTTTGACATTAGTACTTTGTGTTCTCTTTCTTTTTTTCTTAGCCTGGCTAGAGACTTGCTGAATTGATTGAACTTTTCAAAGGACCGGCTTTTGGTTTCATTGGTATTCTCTGTTGATTTCCTGTTGACAAATTCATGGGTTTTTGTTCTTATTATTTCTTTTCTTCTGTTTATTTTTGCATTTAATATGTCCTTTTAATTAGTTTCTTAATGTAGGAACATAGATCATTGATTTTAGATCTTCCTTTCTATGATGTGCACTGATTTTGCTGCATCCCACAAATTTTGGTACGTTGTGTTTCATTTTCATTTAGTTTAAAACATTTTTACATTTCTCTTGAGATTTTTTTCTTTGACCTGTGTGCTATTTAGAAGTGTGTTGTTTATTCTCCGTGTATTTAGGGGTTTTCAAGTTTATTTCTGTTACTGATCCTAGTTCAGTCCCACTGTGGTCTGAAGGCAGGTG